AAAAGTCTTGAGCCATAAACTTTGGTCTCCCAGTTCCTGGTCTGTCACTAACCCGTATTTGTTCCCAAGCAAATTTTCTGGGACTCTCCAGACACAACCAATTTGGGCAGCAGTAAGAAAAAGAAAAATTGTAAGTAGACACAGTGCTAGCATGGGTGGAGCCCAGTTCCCTTATAGGAAATGAAAACTACCTCCTTCCTGATCATCAGAGTGATAATTTTGTATTTTTCGGGGGGCATGCAGATCAGCCAATGGGTGGCTTGTCTACCTGTGTGAGTGCATGAGGGAGTGTAGGGTGGCTTGCAGCCCCCAGAGATTGGCCAAGGGTAAAATCAACCCTTGGACCAAAACAAGTTAGCCACCGCTGCTATAAACCCCAGGCCATGCTGGTCCATGAAGAGCTAACTGCCTTGCTCACCAAAGTTATTTCAATACTTTCCTGTTTCATCAGTGCTTTCCTGAAGCATCTAAAACTCGCCGGGATGTGGAAGTCATGCAGAGCAATGACCTGATAGAGATCAACCCTCAGACTGAAGGCAAGGTCTACACCCGCTGCTTCTGCTTGGAGGAGACCCAAAGCAAGCAGGTGAGGAACACCAACCAGCAAGAAAGAACTAGCATAGCCCAGAGCATGGGCAGCCAGCATGGTGCCTTCCAGACATTTGGAACTACAACTCCCATCTGCCTCAGCCAGCATGGCCATTGGTCAAGGAGGATGGGAGCTGGAGTCCACAACATGTGGAGTCTACCACTCCGGTGTAGAGCTATGAATCAGGAAGCCGCTAGCTCAAATCTTGTTCCTGTTGTGAAGTCAGGACATGGCTATAAGCAAGCCTCTCAGTCTCCCATCTGGGGGTTGGTGATGCTGTCCTTCCCTGGAAAATTGTAATGGTTATGACAAGCTAAAGTATGTGGAGCATTTGTAAGCATTACATAAGACAAAGTGTTATTGATTTGAAATCCTCTGGAGAGTTCCATTTACTGGGACTGTACAGCCCAAACTGTGGAAATATGGGGTAGTTGTGGTTCATGGGTTTTTGTTGCATGTGTACAGACAGCACAGATGAAGATACAGTTTTCTGTTTCACCCTGCCTTTGTTGCTAATGGCACTGTTTCCGTTCTACTGCATTTCGTCTTCTGCATAAACTGTTATTCTTCTCACTGTCCGCTGTGACAATATTGTGTTAATTGTGTAAATTCCATCTTGTCATTATGTTATCCATTCATTTCAATGTAAAGAAAACATGATGCAAATGAGAGAAAATGCAATCGATTTCGTATCATTTGCGGTTTGAAAGTAACAACAGCAGCGAATAGCAATTGCATTTGCTGGATTGATTTCCATTCTGGACATGGAATGAACAAGTGAACATTGCCAATTTCTAGTCTTGTTTCTCTCTAGCAGACAGCTAGGTTGATACGATGTGATTAAATAGGATGGATTTGTGTGGAAAGAATTTTATTGTGGAAGAAAAGCTGTGAGATCATTACTGAACAACCATTGCAATGTTAGCCTGCGTAAACAACACTGAAAACTTCCATTGCGTGTGCATAGCCATGTTCTCCAATATCTTGCTGCCACCCACAGCATCTGCCACCTGAGGCAGCTGGCTCACTCTGCCTAATGGTAATGGTTATGTCCAGTCACATTGTGTTGGACATAGTACCATGGCATTGTTCCATTTACTGTGTGATCCCTGATTGGATGGGATCACCCATGTAACCATTATCAGAAGCAGCAGTCAGGATAAATAATGGCACCCAACAGTTTTGAGAAAAGATAAGTATTTGGGAGGGAAATTACCCATCAAAATAAGTACTTTTGATCCACAAATCGGAAAGTTGTAGAGACTCAGTGCAGTCTTAATCCTCTGCTGAGATAGAGTTAATGGTGCAACTGATGGAAAACTAATTTTCCTGTTCCCACCACCACTGTAGTATGGAATAGAGAGAGCATTGCTGGAATTAAACACCAGTCATCCGTTCAACATTTGCTGGGAATATGTTTGCTACCAATTTAGGGATTTTATTTTTCACTGTCACATCCTACTGAGAAGAAATACACATCAGAGAAGGGACTGGGAAGGGGGGAGCAAGAGGTTGCAATCCAAACCATCTGAGACTACTGCCAGCCAGTTGTGCGCTGACATGATGGATAGAATATGGAAATATTTACATCCCTGCTCACCAAAGATGGTTCTTAAGGGGGTCTGCAACATTTTTTAATACAAAAACATGATATAAAAGGAAACATCAGTACAAAAGCAAAACACAACCTTTGGCAGATTAAAAACAGCAGCAGAATTGATTAATCAATCATTTAAACACTTTATTATTTAATCACTTGGTACATAAACAGTTTTTTTACCTTCTCCCAGAGGTGCAGTTACTGTTTGATTCCTGTCCTATAACTTAAGTTTTCTTTCATCTGGTGAACAACATTCCTGTTTTTGATAGCTCAAGTGTAGGCATTCATATCTGATATATGATTAAATTCTGCTTCTTTTATTTACATAGAAAAGCCCCCATTTAATTCAGAATATCTTGTAGAGGCATTGATTTGGTTTTGAGATGAATTGTAGGGCCAATAGATGCTTACATCCAGATGATTTAATATTAGCTTAGGCTACAGTCCTAACATGCTGATCCTTGTGGCTGAAGGGGGTTAGGAGGCAACAGATGCAGCCATCTGCTGGGCTACGTCTCTGTGGGACTCCATTGCCCTGGAAGCCCCACTCCCAGCCATAGAAAGTGGTGGTGTTCCTGCTAGTCATAGCCAGCATAGGACCCTAAAATGATTTGTAATGTGGCTGGGTCACAGCAGGGCCAGCCATGAATCCACTGGGTTCTGAACCAGTCCATTTAGCAGAGAGGGCTCCTGGAACTGGCATGGCTTTGAAAAGTCACTAAAACCACTGCCCACTTCTTCTGCCCTGGCCAGCAAAAGCCAGCAGGATGTGATGGTCAACCCACCATGGCACTCTTAGTGAGTATATGCTTTTGTGTGCATTCTTTGGTTGGAGAACTGCATCATAATTTGTGTCTGCATTTTGAAGGACAGCTGCCTATCAGTTCATGTCTTGTTTCGTGAAGTGGGTAGATTTGCATTAAGATGCAAACCATGCTGGATATTCCCCTCATCCTGAAGTGGCATGGACATCTTTGTCCAACTGTAGGTAAATCTGACCCTGGGGCATTGTGTTCTGACTTGGAACTGCCTTCTGACTTGGAACTGCCTTCTCCCACATATGAGCCTCCTGAACTCTCTGACTTGGAACTGCCTTCTCCCACATATGGGCCTCCTTTCCCTGTTGCTCTCCTCTCCATCCTTTGAGATTCTTTCATTGATGAGAACACAAGCCTCATTCATTCACCCTCTGGGACAAAAACAAACCTGCCTCATTTTTTCCACAAGATTTAATGGTGGTGATGAGACTAGGCCAAAAGATCCAGACTGAAGAAAAATGCAACAAGAGCCAGAGGATAGAAAACGGAGCTTATCAAGGGGTGAATCTTGACAGGATGGAGCAACAGATAAGTGGGAGCGGGGAAAGTATTCCTACAAGCACGAGGGTGTGTGAAGATAAGCATCTTGCTGGTGGGTTGGGAGAAAGAGGCCAGGGTGTTAGGACGATGTGTAGGCGGACTAATCCCTGGATGGTTGAAGTGTAGGTGGATCTATGGCCCTTCAGAAATTGCTAAACTACACCGCCCACAATCCGTGGCCACTAGCCATGCTTGCTAGGGCTGATGGGAATTGTAGTTCTCCAATATATGATGGGCCAAAGGTTCCCCAGTCCTGACTTAGAGTGATGTAACGACAGGCATGTAGCTGCTGCACAGCATGTTCCAGGGGCAGCTGAACAAGGTCGGAATGTGAGGAGAATTTACTGGAGACTTGAGTGGGGGTTTTTTTGCAGTGTGCAGATGGTGCAAAAGGGAGCAAACAGCCCAGAGACAGGCAGTGCTGATACAATCAAAATATGTGTCTGTGAGCCATTTGGCAGATAAGGGGCATCACTCTCTGTTATAGTCTGTGATATGAATGCAGCAGGTCCTGAGTTCCTGGCATCTCTGGCAAAGGCTGCAAAAATGGTTTGGGCTCAAACCCTGGAGAGTGATGGGGTGGTGCTATAGAGCCACTCTCCTGACACTGGCATCACTGCCTCTCACTGGGATGTTGTGTGAGTCGGGCAGGATGGTGGTGGGGTGGGGCTGAGCAGGTACCGCAGTGAGAGTGCCAGATTGGCTCTGCCAAGGTGCCCACACAGACATGGCTTCACCGTCACCCTGCCCTGCCCCCACAAGGTCCCGGTTAGCAGCAACAATTCTGCTATCAGGAGAACCGCTCTTCACTAGCCGCTCCTGCCTTGAGGAGCAAGACTGGAGAGCCAAAGGCCAAGATGGGTGACGGAGGAGGTCACTTGACCTCCTGAGCTTCTGCCATTTCATTTCTTGTTTAACACAGGAAACTGAATTGGTACAAGTCAGACCATCCAGCTCAGTATAGTTGTACCTTGGAAGTTGAACAGCTTAGTTCCTGAACGTTTTGGCTCCCAAACGCCGCAAACCCAGAAGTGACTGTTCCAGTTTGTGAACTATTTTTGGAAGCCGAATGTCTGATGGGGCTTCCGTGGCTTCTGACTGAGTGCAGCCTATCAGAAGCCACACTTTAGTTTTCGAACGTTTTGGAAGTTGAACGGACTTCCGGAACTGTTTACATTCGACTTCCAAGGTACGACCGTACAGTCAACACTGAATGACAGTTTCTCTCCAGGGTTTCAGACTAGGGATGCTAAGCCCATTGGGGAAGGGGCATAGCCCAGTGGAGTGCATCTGCCTTTCATATAGAAGGCCTCAGGCTCAGTCCCCAGTATCTCCAGGTAAGGCTGTGAGAGCCTCCCTGTGTAGACAATACAGCGTTACATGGACCAATGGTCTGGATCCATATAAAGGCAGCTTTGTGTGTCCTGTGTTCAGGCAGGAGACCTTCCCAGCATACTGCAGGGTGCCAGGATTTGAACTTATGACCTTCTGCAAGCAAAGCAGATGCTCTATCACTGAACTATGGCAGTGCATTTCCAGATGCTGTGATAAGCACCTGTTAAATGTTAATCTTAGTTCTCTGAACATCAGCCATTTTCTCCAGCTGCTGGCAACCTTCCCTCTTCATTCGCAGTGAAGGACAGAAAGAAGCTGTTTTGGCCCACATGGAAGGCTTGCTACATGGGAGGGAGCATGAGAGCATCCAGCAGATTTATAGCTTTGAAAGAGGATTGGACAAATTCACTATCAGTGGCTACTAGCCATGATGCCTAGGCTCTGTCTTCACAGCTGGAAGCAGAAATGCATCTAAATACCAGTTTCTAAGAACCACAGGGGAAGGGAAGTTGCTCTTGTGCTCAGGTCCTCCTTGCAGGTTTCCCACATGTATCTGGTTGGCTCCTGTGAGAATAGGAAATATGGTGCTGGGCTAGATGAGTCCCCTTTGGCCTGATCCAGCAGACTCTTCTTATGTTCATATGCTAGAAGCATGGTTTGTGGACTGCTAGTCTATAATACTGTCTTTTCTCTGCTCTCTTCTAGGAGGAGGTGAGATCTCCTGGAAAGGTTGGTGTGAAAGATGGCCAAGGTGACAAGGTGAGGAATCATATATGGAGCTACTGATCAGGGAGACTCCAGTTCTGACCTCTCCTGTCATGAATTTTTGAGTCCTCGTGCCCATAGGATAGTAAGACCAATCAACCTCATAGGGTTATTGTAATATACGTGGGGAAGGGGAATATAGTTAAATAGGTTTGTTTGAACCACAACTTGGTAAGTTTGCTCTTTGATATATTCAGCTTGAGACATCCTTTTTGCATTTTTAAATTTGTTTTTAAACAAATAAAGAACATTGATGAAACACTGACACAGAGAAATATCAGAGAGGAAGTTGGAAATGTGGAATTGAAGGGAGGACAAAAGATCTAAGGTACAGAAGAAAAGCTGAGTGTCATCAGCATATGGGTAGTATCGAAAGCCACAAGAATTCGATACAAACGGTTGAAATTCTCATATTGGATTGTGAGAATGACATTTTACAAGGAAGTTTGAATTCAATTTCTTTTGAATGGGAACATTGGCAAATGACCTATGGAGAGTTTTGTAAGGTGTTCTACTTTGGGGAGAAGTTTCTCGAGGAATTTCTCCAAGCACACACACACACACACACACAATTTCTTTCAGTGGTATTCCAGACCTTTAGGGGCTGAGAATCAAAACCCTGCTTGTCCCTGCTTACCATGTAGTACTTAAGACTTCATTGATGCTAATCCTTTCCTGGAGAGCTCTCAGTAAACAGTTCCTTCTGAGGGCTTCTTTGTATGTTCCAGACTCCTGAGCTATCAGTGCCTAAAAGGAAGCAAGCAAAGCCTTCTGCGCTCTGGCGCTTGTTACACAGTCAGGAATTGTAGCCTTCATAACATGCCTCTGCAGTTGCTGCTCCTTGTTCAGACCATTCTGGATGCCACAGTCATCCGGAAGATTGGATTGATGACTTGGATATTGTCTTTCCATTGATGCCATCAGTTATTCTGAACCCACAGGTGCCTGGGGGGGGGAGGATGTTGTATAAGTGTAGGTAAAAGAAGACCTCACTTGTGAAGGACCGAAGGAACCTTTCCTCCAAGTCATCAGAACTCTTCTGATGTCACTTCCATGCCACCACAAAGAAACAAAAACAACCTCGGCTCAGTCCTGGGACAAGCTTTAGAAATTATCAAAATTAAGTAAAAATGTAGTTGGATGCATAAACCTTTGCACAATTTTGCCAAGGTGGGGTGGGATTATGAAGGGGGTTGTGCAACTGAATTCACTGGGGAAAAGGGCAGCCTCTGCACTTCATTCCATGTCCCAATGAAAACAATGAAGAGCATGCCTAAAAAATGGTTTCTTCTGAAATAATAATAATAATAATAATAATAATAATAATAATAATTTTTATTTGTACCCTGCCCTTCCTGGCCAATTCCAGGCTCAGGGCGGCTAACATCAGGTATAAAAACAATTGATTAAAATACAACTTAAAAACAGGTTTAAAGTACAACTTAAAATGCAGCCTCGTTTCAGTGGAAGCCCAGATCAAAAACTGTTTGGGGGGAGAAAATGTCAAATCTTCACCAAGGCCAGCTATCCAGACTGGTCAGGGAAGTCCCCAAATAGGGGTTCCATCACAGAAGGAAAAGGAAAGAGGGGGAGGGGATCAGGCTGATTCTAAGCCAAAGGCCAGGCAGAACAACTCTCTCTTACAGGCCCTGCGAAAAGAAATCAGATCCCGCAGGGCCCTGGTCTCATGAGACAGAGTTCCACCAGGCTGGAGCCAGTGTTGAAAAGGCCCTGGCCCTGGTTGAGGCTAATCTGACTTCCTTAGGGCCTGGGACCTCTAGAGGGTTGCTATTTATGGACCTTAAGGTCCTCCGCGGGGCATACCGGGAGAGGCAGTCCCATAGGTACGAGGGTCCTATACGAGGGACATTATGCTCAAAAGCAAGGTGATCTATGGTGCTCTGTGAGTTTCTGTGGATATCTGAGCTCATAGGAATACTGTGCTCAAATAAATAGGCAGGTTTCACATATCCCAGCTTTACACCTTGCTGGTGTGCTGGATACACCTAGAAAGGCATCTCTGCAATTTCCACAAAATTCTGACATCCCTATCAACAGTGTGTAAGTTTGCATTCCAAGCACCATTCCTTCAGTTGCCCCCGATGCAGAGAAACCGCAGCAGCCACCAGATGCCTTGGCCTGCCTGGTTTGGCTTCTTTAGAGCTGACCATCCCATGGGAAGCATCTCACACTTAACTGGTTTGGTGGGAGGAAGCAGTGGTCAAGCCACAAACCCTCACATATAATAAGAGTCTTTCGCTGTGCCCAGAAATTTGCCAGGGAAAGGAGACGGAGCCAGCTGTCTTTCCAACAACTGAGTCCCTTCACTAGTTCACTTGAGGCTTCCACCCAACAGCCCCTTCATTAATAAGCTGCTTGGCCTGTACTTGGGAATGGACTATAGGAGGAGTCAAACTGTTCATATCACAAGGGAATCAGAGAAGGTATTTGCTTAACCCTCCAATGCTGCATTTTAATATTTTCCCGATTGCATTAAAAATAGCCAAAGTTTGATCATTTGTGTCACTGCCCATCATACTGACAGTCACAAAAATGCATAAACATTACAGAGTGATTGATAGTTAAACTGGTAGATGGATGAAAGAAGTCCTTGCCCATGGGGCGTAAGTCAGTGAATGAATTTATCTAGTAAACCTGCACATGTTTGCAAACAAATAAAGCAACACTGCTGAAGAAAAACATTCTCCCCCGACCCTTGATGGACCCTTGTACCACAGCCAGCATCACCATAAACATGGTGGTCCATCCTATGTGAGGAAAAAGCAGGAATGCCTTTCTTAAAGTGGTGCCCACCACATACTGATTTTTTTAATTACTTAAATTCAAAGCAAGTTTCTTTTTTAAAATTAAAAACTGCTGTCCAGTTCATGGTGGCATCTTTTTAATTGATCAGAATGTTTTAAATGTCAGCTCTCCAACCTGGTGCCCTCCAGATGTTTTGGATGGCAAGTCCCATCTGCCCCAGGCACCAAGGCAAAACATCTGGAGGGCACCAAGTTGTAGAAGGCTGCAATAACTAATTGATTGGCTGCTAGTCAATTAGTTAATACAGCCTTCTCTATTCTCAACTCACTTACCTGAGGAAAAGCCCCCACTGAACACAGCAGGATGTACCGGTACTTCTGAATAAACATGCACAGAACTGCATTATAACTATTGCAGCCTTTATTAGAAGGCATCTTCCTTTCCAGTTTTCTAATTGTTTTGTTCTTTTTGCAGTGTCCCCCATGCTCACAGAAGCCACAGCTTTCAAATGTAAGTAAAGGGGCTGGTGTTAATATTGCATTGATTTTCTAATGAGCTTTGGATAAGGCAGGCTGATGGATACTAGTTCAGGATGTCAGTTGCTGCAGGTTCAGGAAGCAACATAGGCTCTCTTTAACTTCCAGAAGTGGGAGCCATGCGTTTGTGGATTTGGGAAGAAGGGGAAAAAAGCTCCATAGGGCAAGGAACTTGGGTCCAAGAGTAACCGTTCCTGGAAAACTGTTAATTAGGCAGGAGATAAGCTGAGCTGGTGGTCAAGAAGGCAAGGTCATGCTCAGAACAAGAAAGTACTCTGGGCTTGGCATCTCTGGTTGCCAGCTGGATATTCCACACCTACCAACATTCCTCAGATGTAAACAGGGACATTTCTCACTCCCCTCCAACTGAACCTCCTTGATCCTGCTGAGCATTTCCTATGAGAAGAAGGGTAAGGCAAGACCAGCCTACCTCTTAGGGTTGTTGTAACCCCACCATAACACCCCCTCTTCTCTCTTTTTTAAAAAAACCCACAATCTTGCTTGTTTCAAGAGTTGGCCAAACACTGTTGGTACTCTTGGGAACATTGTCCCACCTATATCCCTTTCTTTCTGGTGTTAGAGCAGCATCGTAACTGTTTTGCTGCCCCAGCTGCAATTGTAGTTGAATGTGCAGTTCGCCAAATTAGAGAAGCAACTGACATAAACTAGTTGTGAGCAATGTTGAAATCACCTGACACCCCCCCACACACACACACAGACACAGGGCCTCTAACGGGACAAGGCTGTATTCTTAGATCCTTCCTCATTTGGCAGCCAAACTGCTGACTCAAAAGGCTCCTCAGCAGCTGCAGAATTGTAACCTCAACAGGGACCATTGATTCATTCATTGATTCATTCATCCCAGTGGCGGGTTCCTTCCCCGGAACCTGGATTTCCATCTTCTTTCTCCCCTGCCCCCCAAGCCCTTTTACCTGTCCCAGTTGCCTGAATATCCAACTTTGTCTGCATGCTTTCTAAAAGGAGCTGTCCCTGTGATCCCACCCCCCCATCCTTCCACCACTTTCCCCTGTTCCTTCTGGCTTGCATCCACTGGAACATCTGGATCACTGAAGAAATCTGTGATGGCTTCCAGATGTCAGCAAGGGTTCCCATGGCAACAACTTTGG